TGCAAAAGAGAGAGATATAACAGTGTTTATACATGGCATTCACAGACCTATGTAATGAAATCAGTTCATTTTATGCAGTTGTATTATTTTCCTGTTACAGCCAATATTCAAATAATTATAATCATTGAAATGATTCTTTTCATGTCCCCTGTTTTTCACACTGGATCTCATGGCTTTTCACGTGGCTCTACAAGAGGTGTTAACACACAGAGCAGAGCTCATCACCAGTGCCCAGCCTGAGACTAACATAGATACAGAAGTAAGCCCTGGTGATTCAGTCTGGTATAAAGCAAATTAAACATATTCTGTGCCACTCCAGGGTTCACAGAGCTATAAAGCAGGGGATTGCTCTATTCCATTTTGTTACACTTGGAGAATACTCTCAAATAGCCTAGCACAAACCACCACTTAGAAAACCATGCTGCAGTTTAATCAGCAACTCAAATTTTCATGAGCCAACACTGCTGCCATAAGTAGCAGATGTACAAACATCCCTCAAACTGAAAATCCTCCTAGAAATTTGCCTTTAGTCAAGAAAAGGTCTGACCAAGTTTAGTAATGTCGGAAGAGAGGACAGGAGGCATCCTAGAGAGAATACTGAAAACGAGGTGGTTTTTTCAGCTTTAAAGTAAAAAATGGCACAGAGTTGCTGTTGTGCTGTTGCGTGGAATGATAGCAGGACCCTTTTTAAGGGCTTTTTCAGCATCTGTGAACAAATGCAGACGTATTTTATTAGACAGATCTTTTAAATTCAGTTTAGTTCCCCAAGTGACTTGTTCTCCTTGGCCCAGATTCATCTCATCCTTCTGGAACAGTCCATTTTTTCCACCTAAGACCCAGATTGCCCCTTGAAAGTATTTTTCTTCCCCAATGATGCAGGAAACCTTGGCGTTATACCTCCAACATAGACATCACAGTTAAATGCCCACTGTATTATGGGATCCCACTGAAGCCAATAGCTTCACATTTGTGGGAAATAGATTCAAGTCCTGTTGTGCCATCATCAAGGGCTTTCTTCTCCTATCCTTGGTTCTCAACATGGTGGGAACCACCCCACTTCCTAAACAAGGAACTCAAACTGCCCTTTAAAGGCTGTATATACTATGTTTACACTACTGAGACACAGCTCCCACTGGACATTTAATCTCATGGCAAGATTATTCTCAGACCTGGGGACATTGTAAATATAGGGCTTCTCTGACAGCTTCTTGCATCTGCCTTCATGATGGGGCAAGGATGACAAGTCCCAGCTGACTGTGAGTACAGCACTTTGGAGAGGGGGCTTGGAAAATCTGGTGGTGTGGATGTCACCTCTCCCTGTGCCTCTGTCTTGCTTTTCTTAGTCCTCAGAGGAGTGTGAAGGACACAGGCTCCAGCTCTCAACAAGAGATGGGCTGCTGTTTCTCCCTATTCAGACACCCCAAGGTCGCACGATATCTGAAACCCACTCTGCTTTTTGGCAGCCATAAATGTACTTTTTGCCTCTTTCAAAGACTATGACATGACACAGTCAGTGGGAGTTCAGCTGCCTCCATTTCTTTTTTTCATCTTCTTGGTATTATTTTTCCCCTCTTCCATCCTGCCTGTGGGTGACTTCTGAGTGGTTCTTCCCTCTGAAGCTTACTGTTTGCCCATGAGAAGGAGAGGTCTGCTATTTTCAGTTGTTGAGTTGGAGAGTGGAAAAAAGCTGCCAGAGAAAACGGAGGTAAGCTTGTGTTAAAATGAAAGGGCTTGATTCTGAACTCTCCCTGGTTTTACACTGCCGTAACGCAACTCACTTGAATGGAGTATTTTTCCTGGTTCATAATGATGTCAGTGAGAAGAGAATCCTAACAGACTCTAATTTAATCCCAGGCTTTGGCAAGAACCTTCATCTCCCTTTAATGAGTGGAGGTCCTTTTCATTAGACTCTCAAATATGCCACTGATGGGTGCCAGTATAAAACCCTAGATAGGCAGACGTTTATGTAATGGCAGCAGGCAATGTGCTTTAGAGAAATGGAAAAGGCATTTTAATCATGGTATTAGGTTAGATTCCACAAGACAGTATGGAAGGCATCAAGATGCGAATGCCATAACAATCTGGAGTGTGTTACCATTGCATTGATCTAATATTGTGATGTAGTAATAGTAATTTCAGGGATATCTTGCAAAAATGCACTCTGAGTTACAATGGAAAAAATAGGGGGGAGGAGAAGAGGAAGTAAGGAAAAGTTAAAGCCTGCTCAGCTGCTAACATGGGAGAGGCTTTGTATTTGCCACTCCTAGCTTGAATCTCTGCTGTTAACCAAAAGCAATGCCCAAGGTTTCCTTGACATTAGGGCTGTAGAAAAGAAGAGCTGAGTTGACCTCTCTAGTTATTAATTTATACACAAATCAATTGCATGTCCATTATCAAGGCATCTCTGGGCCATGGGGCCCATTTGAAAACAAACATATAGATATTACCCACAGAGCAGTGGAGAAACTTGGTTTGGTCAGAGACAGACAAAGCCAATGGAAAGCCCCCTCTCCTGGTTCATTTCTGAGCAGCAGGAGATTTGGTGATTGTAGAGGGATTAATGAAAGCCACTGTCTGCACTCAGCTCTTATCTTGGGAGTGTATTGGCAGTGAGTCTGCTCCAACCAGCGCTAATCTACATCGAGGTAGAAACCTTTCACCAACACCAGGCTTGATATTGTCAACAGACCTTCAAAACATGTCTGGCTGTGTACTTTGGAAACGTTGTTCTCAGACATGGTGCCTGTATCCATAATAAACTTCATTTTCCAAAGCATTATGTATACATTTGCCATATTACACTGGAGAGCCAGTACCGTGCACCATGTTGCCCTCATGGGCAGCCTGAAGGTGACTTGAGTTTTGCTTGTACATTGATCTCATTTGCCTTTGTAGCAGAGGACATTGTGTCATTTTGGGGAAAAACTGTTCATAAGTCTGCCTGATACCATCATTGCAAGGACAGCTGGGAGAAATGCAGCTTGCACAAATATTGTGAAATGTTCACTTGGCGCTACAGGTATCCCAAAGCTGGCCATGAAGATACCCTGCAGGAATGGAGTATCCACAGCAAGGTAGCATGGCCTAGGGACATCCCCTGAGCTGCTGTAATGCAGACATACCTTATGAGATCAAAGAGCTCTTAGAAGTCAAGGATGTTGATGAAGGAGGTGGTGTGTGTTGCTGTAATGTTATAGGAATGTCACTTGGATCCACAGCTTGAGTAGATACAACAACGGTGAAATCTTTCATGCTGGTGGGATCCTTGGACTGATTCTCCTGTTCTTTGCCCACTGATGCTGCCCAGCATGGCCACAAAGGATGTCCATCTGATTTAGGAGGGCTAATAGGATGTTTTGTACATATGCCAAATTATTCACACCCTTTACAATAGCAGAGCTTGCATAATCCAGAGTGTGAAATGAAGGGTCTTACACTTGGTATTAACTTCACAATGTCTGTATTATTTTCTGAAGCTGTTTATTTCTAATATCTGTCATATTTTGTGTCCTTATTACTGTGCAGGCCAAGCAGAGTGCCTGAGTTAAGGTTTTTGGGAAGGTTGGCTTCTTTCATTTCCTTTTGACTTGTATGAAAGAAACAGTCATGTAGCCATTAGTGAAAAGCAGAGGTGTTCTTTAAGAGAGCAGAACCACTGCATAATTGTTTAGGGAAAGAAATAAGAATTCGGAACATCAAGAGGAAAGTTATGAAAAGAAAGTCTGTAAAGCAGAGTTTGGCTTCTACAAAGTTACTTAAAAGTAAAGTTAGGCTCTGGCTAAAAATGCTAAATAAAAATCTGGTTTCTGATCAACCCTGAAGATCAAGGCTCAGCTTTGGTTCCATTTCTTATTTTGGTCACTCTGGTTTTAGATGTGAGCACCCACTCAGTTAAAAACTGTTGGCTATTAAACCAATCTTCCCCTGTGTTGAGCTGTAGGGAAAGAGGTGCACCAAATGGGACCATACAGGTAGTACACAGAGAAAAACGTACGAAAGGTTGCAGATTTAATTTTAAATCACATATTTAGAAAACATAACAAAGGTGAAAATGAGAACAATGGCTTCTCCCCTACCCACCCACCCCCTTTCATTTTAAACCATCCAACAGTGTGTTTGAAATAGCTTAAAAGTTGCGAAGTTTCTGCCTGTGCCTTGCAGGATCCTGTGAGCTCTGAAGCGATGTTGCCACCTTGTGGAACAGGAACCAGCTCGGTTCAAAAAAATTACCTTTCACTCCTTGTACTTTGTGCCAAATTAGAAAGAAAAGTCCTCTGCTTTGGGAGGGAGGGGGCCCTTTTGCAGCACCAGCTGATGGGCTGAGGACATGCTGGGAAGAAGCCATAATCCGCGCGTGCATTCCTCCACATCTCATTCTCAAAATTAAGTAGAGCATCTTTGATTTCATTCTTTTTATTTCCCATCCCTTGCCCCATTGTAGTTTTTGTTCCTTTCTTTCTCAGGGACTGCTCATCTGCCCATTATTTTTCAAGTAAACCCCATCATTTTCATAAATGGCAATAGATTATCATCCTGTAAAAAATAAAAAGAAAGATCACCTAGCTTTTATGCGCAAGGTCCTGCAGTCCTTGCACAAGCAAAGCTCCCATTGACTTAGGGCAGACTTTTGTCTGGTTTCTGAAGCCACACTTGTCTGTGAGATTCATAAAAGAAACCTTCAAAACCTGTGGGTACGTGCCCAGCTTGTGTGGGCCAATGTTTTGGAGAACACACATTACTTTTATGCTCAGGAAATCAAAACTGGGCACAGGGAAATGATCACTTTAGCTTTCAAAAAGAGTGAGAGCCTGACCTGGAATTTGCAGTATTTAATTTCAGCTTGGAGCTACACAAGGGAGAGATTTGACTGTGTTCAGCAGGAGGATGCAAACCGGTATCACCAGGCACAGCTGCAATATCATGCACGCTCTTGCTGGCCGAAGGGCAAAATCCAGACTTTTGACATATTTGCCCTCTTTCTTTCTCCTAATGGTATCCAGGGCTAACCTGCAGAGTGGAGAATTTAAGGGATGTGCTCAGAAAAGGTTCACGTCATGGAGAGATTATCCTACCTTTTTCTGGTAAGTTTTAGCTTTCCTGAGCTCCTCCATCTCCCCAGGGCAAAGGGGCGTTAGATTTTGTATCTACCAGTGGGCCCTAAATACGGATAAATTATTATTATCAGGGATTCTCAAAGCATTTTTTTTAATAACTGGAATTTGTCTCTGACAAAATTAGAATTTTCAATTAAAACCTGTATTAATTAAAAAATGGGAGTTTGGGGTTTCAACATATGCCCAAATGCTAGGATTTTCCTGCATCTCATGATTTCTTTTTTTCTTCTATTTTCGCCTGTCCTTACTACTTTTTGCAGTAGTGAAACACAGTAAAATAAAACACAAAATAAAATAAAATATTAACATTAAATAAAATACAATAAAGTAATATAAAAATAAAATAAAAATTTAAAATTAAACCCCCAAACTTATCAAAATAAGAAGCAGCATACAAGAGCATAGAGAGGAGATAGGAAAAAAGGAAATGTGAATAAAAACATGTTAAGCTTTAACTCTTCCCTTAAAATAAAAAGAAAAAATATTCAAGGCTTCTTTTTTTTTTTTTTTAATGAAAACTCTTCACTGTTCCTGTTTCTGGTCAGCACTATTTATAAGCAATCGCTGCTGAATCGTTCAGCCTCTGGCAATGTCGGCATCCGACTGGCTGTGGGTAAACAGCAACTCCTGTCGTACAATGTGAATAACAAACTTCCATTTACAAATTATGTTTACCCCACTATGTGCTTGGGCATGAATGCTACCTTCTTTTTTGTCTCCAGGTCTGTATTTCCCTCCAAAGAGTCCTGGAGAGCCCTATGAGCTCCAGCGCTTTCCGCATACGTGCATGCACACACACACACAGACACGGACAGCTTCGGTGCAGAGCCTCCCACCTCCCCAACGGGACATGGTTTAGCAAGTTATAAAACCAAACCCATCCCAAGGAAGAAGGTTTGGGTAGCATGGCATTTCTGCTTCATGCTGCCCACAGCTCTGAGGCTTCGGCATCAAAGGAACAAGGGGGGGGAAACTGGTGTTTTGGGTTTATTTAAAAAAAAAAAAACACACAAAAAAAAAAAAAAACAAACAAACAAAAAAAACCAAACAAAACAAACAAAAACAAACAAACAAACAAACAAAAAAAACCAAAACAGACCAAAAAAAAAAAAAAAACAAAAAACAAAAAACAAAACTAATCTGTTGAACACTGGGCTTTGGGCCACTCCAGCAGCTTAAAGGTGCGGGAGGATCCTGAGCCAGCTGATAAAAATGCAGTGCTCTGATAAACTGCTCCTTGGTGGCATCAGGGGATGTTGGGGCTCAAAACTGAATGTTTTCTGACCGTGCCCACCCCACCTAACCCAGCACATCCCCAAAATCCTCATTCCCAACTGACAGGCTGCCAAACTTCTGGGGTATTCTCATCCTAGTGAGCAAACAGGATAGCAGCCCCAAATGTCTCCCCATATATTTGCCCACCTTGAATCACCTTGAAATGCCATGGATGTTTCCAACAGGATCGAAGCTGGGCTCCTGTCCACAGCAGTTATGCATTCCGATAAACATATCACTTGAATAGGGTCAGGTTTGTCTAGAAGGGGAAACAAAAGAAGGAAGATTTACCTTTAATGTTACGTGATTTTTATAGGTACCTCTCTTTTAGATCATAGAGAAACAAATTTCTATGCAAAGTCTCCATTGAAAGAGATGGATTCACAGAAAGTTCAACCTGGACCATAGTTTAACAGTAATGATAATTTCTTGTAAGGTCGTATTTTACCTGGAACCAAGTCAATGCCTATAAAAGTGCTATAATGAATTGACAAAATAATTCCCAGATTTTTTTTTTTTTTCCTGCTGTTTTTCTTGTACACGGGCAATTTTTGTTGCACAGTAGGCAGTTTCATGGTCAGTGACTTCCTTTTATTTTAAAATTGTCCTGGAGGGCTAAGAAGAATACATGGACAAAGTTTGCAGATCTGTGTAAAAAAAGCTTGTGGGCAGCTAAGCGAGCCTGAAAAGTGAACTCGTGCCTTGAACCATTTACTCCCCAGCAGGTGCAATAAGGTACAAAGAGGCTACTGGTTTTATACCTTAAGTCTGTGGTCCTACTGGGAGCTGCATTAAAATCCCCCACAAACTCTGTGTTAATGACCTGAGGTTTGAACACTGATTTCTGAGCTTTTTGGGGTTTCTCTTTCTCCCCTCCATCCCAGCCTCATCCTTCCCCTGAAAACATGACAACCCCTTTCTGACCAAGTGACTGAAAACACTGAAGTTTGGACTATCAGATTTTCCCTTTAGACCAGTGAAATGTAAGGAAGAAAAAAGCACCATCTACTACTAGATGAGGAAAATTTCAATCATCAAAATTAAATAAAACAGAAGCTGGGAAAAGCTGTTTCTAATGAAGACCATTACAGGGAGAGGTGGCTTTTTCCTTCCCTCTGTGTGTGTGTGTGTGCGCACATCAAAACCTTTTCTATCCGGTCACAATCAGGGAGCTGAAAAATCTGTCTTTAATTGCAGATGTTGTAAAAATAATCACATAGGAGACTAAACTAGCATTAAAAATGTGGATTCTTGACTTGTTGCCTTGGCATGGAACATCTTTCTATTGAACTTCTTATAAAGCAGTAAACTATGAGTCAAAATTTCTTCAAGAAGATGTCTTTTCTTGTTATGGTTATTTTACTTCAGAGGGTGTTTCCTGGCTTCAGCAGAAAAAGGAGATGGTGGGGAACGTTTTCTCTGTCTTAAAAGACAGCTTTGTTTTTAATTATCCTTGCTACAGAATACAGTGAGATCTTTCTGTTTCCATTTTTTTAGCTCAGATAAAATTCTCGGCATTTCAGCATTTTTTTTCCTCCTCTGCAGCTTTTTCCCATTTGAACTGTTATTTATTACTTCTTTACTACCTTTCATGCAGTTAAATGAAAATCTTGATGCTTAATGGTGAAAACACCCCAAAGGAATTTAATTTTATTTTAAGGGTAACGTCGCCCTCATGAACAATCTACCTCCAAACAATGAGAAATTGTTTCTCCAATCCCACCTACCCTCCTCCTCCTTCCTTGACTCTTCTGTTGAGTTTTGATCCCGCTAGGGGAAAAGGGGTATTTTGTTAGTTTGAAATCAGATTGCTGTTGCCTTTTTAGTACCTTTATAAATCCAGGAACATTAGCTGAAATGAAGTCTAGTGCAAAATGTTTCCTTTCTATGGGACCTAACACATTGAAGGGTGCCAGTAGGTGGTCACTGTTCATAGACTTTAAAATGCAGATTAAGCCCAGCTGAACTGTGCCAAACCTTTTTCAACCCTGTTGAAGTCCAAAATAAATTCACACCTCCTCATTTCTGTCCTATTAATCAATCAATTCAAGAAACTGCAGTCTGTGGTGGGTATCAGTCAGAGACTTGTCTGTTCATTTGGGCTGATGCACAGAATAAATGTTTTCATATATTTTAAAATTAATTTTATTTCCTGTGTCTATATTTTTAATTTTGTTTTCTTTTGCAAGAATGCAACTGTGACTACCTGTTGTCAGGAAGACCATAAATTTCAAAGTTAAAATAACATTATATTCCAGTATTTGTTTTGCAGGGTAAAAAATCAAAATAGCAATCTAAAAAAAATAAAGAGGAAACTGTGAACCCTGTTTAGTATAAATGTACAATAATAAGATTTATTTTTACATTGGCTGTTTGAAACTTCTCTAAGTTTATGCCAACAAACATAGCTAAAGTCCTAGAATGATCATAATCCATCCCCACCAAGTACAAAGAAGGGTTTCTCTTTTATGGAGACTTGACTTTCCAAAGTTAAATTGTTATGTGGGGCAAGGACAGCATTAGCTAATATTAATGACCTCTAATTCTTTGCACTGTTAATATTCAGGTTTCCAACAGCTTTGTAAAGAGCAATTAGATAAGCATCCCAGGAGACCTAAGGAAAAGGGAAGAAATGTTCTCTCCATTTTGTACCCTGAAACTAAGGCACAGAGAAATTTCAGGAAAATCTGATATTAAGGGAGTGGCAAAAGAAGGAATAGGATTCAGATGGCTTCTTGTTTTAACCACATGACAAAATTCCTTCCCCATAAAATAATATTAATAACTGCCTTCATACCTAGGAGTCCAGGGAGGATGGTAAAGGAGCATCTCTTAACCTGGTACATCCCTTGGCATTTCCTTTTTTGTCAAAGTAAGAGGGGGTCATAGAGAAAAGGTCAGCACTGCTATTTTGTGCCTGTCAGATGTCAATCTCCTGGGCCTCAAATGTAGCACAACTCATGACCATTCATCTCACTCAAAAAGAAAATGCAAATGAAACAACCAAAACTATTTCAGTCTATTCAAGATGTTGCTAAACTTAGATATATACAATTGTGTAATCATTCCTCTGTTTTTTTGTAATTTCTTTTCCTAAGAATTCCTAATATACATTTGATTTGACATGATGTAACACAGACATGGCTTACAGAGAACTAACCATGATGACTCATTTCTAGGTGGTAGAAGTTAATTTATACTCCATTATTGGATATAACTCAGATAATATTTTTCTATATGCACCCAATAGTTTTTATTGACATTGCATTTCATTTGTAACTTTATTATCTAATCACTCTCCTTCATGAATACATTTCAGTTTGGATGCCTTGGATAAATGATTATTCAATCATTTTCTAGATCATCTGCAGAAAAGTTGACAAGCACAAGTCTGAAGTCATCTCTCTGTTGGGTATCATATTAAAGTCATGCATTTATTTCAGTCCTTAGGCTGTTTCCAACATTTCAACTGTTAATCCATATGAAAATACTTTCTCTTATGCTATGAAAGGTTAATTTCTCAAAAATACTTTGCTGTGTGATTTTGTTGACAGCTTTTGAAAAGTCCAAGTAGTCTGACTGGATTCCTATGTTCTACATCCCCTTTTACTCCTTCAAAGCTTTCTAATAAATTTATGACTCCTGACTTAAGAAATGTGATGTTTTCTTCCTTATATCAGATCTATCTCTGT